CAGGCATACAAACTTAAGATCAAACTTCTGGTGTTAAAAATGTGCGGGTGAGATCAGTATTGCCTCCTTCCTCCCAACAAATGTATTTCACGCATATTCTAAGGCATCAGGGAAGATAATGTTCCCTTTTGCATGGCCTTAGTACGTATCTTTCCATTCAAGATATTGAACTTTCACAGATACGTTCAATAGCTGCAAGAGTCTGCAGTGCTGTGTTGGCATTTGACCACCAGTGTGTAGATCCTGAGGTGCATTTCCATCAAGAGGAACTGTAGATTTGTGTGCCCGAACAAATTCTGTTCTCTGTGATTCGCAGTCCTCTTTTTGCTGTTGGATGCTAATGATATTCCTTGTCCTGGTCAGGTGAAATAAACTTACTTCATAATCAATTTACTTCATGCTAAGCCTTGCGTGCGTTTAAGTGGTGCTGTTTATTCTTCTGTTTCAACAAAGCCCAAAATTAAATGTAATAATTTCTCTATTCCTACATATACAGGCAGCTCAAGAAATTAGACGAAGACAGTTTAACCAAACAACCTGAAGAAGTGTTTGATGTATTGGAGAAGCTTGGAGAAGGGTATGTGTTCTGTTCCAATGTGCTCAGCGTACGTTTCTCTAAGAACAAATCTGTGTAACGGGTATGTGTTCAGTGGCCTCTGACTTTTCACTCTTGTCATGATCCTATTACTGCAAAGGTATGTGCTAACATAGTGACAGTGTTTGCTTGACAACAGAATAAAGAATTTGTTTCCCAAGAGTGTGGTGTCTTAATCCAAACAGTAGCTTACAACTTAGCAGTAGGGAGTTAACTCCAGACTGGGATTTTTCAACAGTGTATTGATAGGGCTCCGTGGGAACTTGAGAGGTTTTGTAGTTCATCCCTGGTACTTCCTGTGGAAGCTCCATGTGGTGGAAATGAACTTATGTTGCATTGTGCCACTTGGTAAGGCAGAGCAGCATGGGAATGCTCGGCAAGTGACATGTTTGCCTTCTTAAACAGTTCATTTGAAAAAACTGATTTGTAAATCTGCCTGGCTGGTGTAAGTAAAGAAGCTGGAAATAAGACAGATAATATCAGACAAGAACAAGTAAACCTCTCTGACCAGAACTTTAGTTCTTACTGATGCTCAGCTGGTACTGTATGCTGGAAAATAATTGGTTTTGGATTTGTGTGAAAGGTGATTCTAAAGCTATGGGCAGGGTAATGATGGTTAGCTCTTTTCTGACTGTCTCAGTGTGCTGTGACTTATTTGTATTATTACAGTGTTTAGAAGCTAGTGGACTGGTTATTTACATTAAAATACAAAATATTTTTAGCAGCATAGTTAATTTTTACCTGATGGCTGCATTTGCAAAAAGCAAAACCGTAACATTTACATTTTAAAAATGTCATTGTATTCAGTGTTTGTTTAATATTTTGTTTCATAGGTCCTATGGCAGTGTGTTCAAAGCCATTCATAAAGAAACGGGTCAAGTTGTTGCAATTAAGCAAGTTCCTGTGGAATCTGACCTGCAAGAGATTATAAAGGAAATATCCATAATGCAGCAATGTGACAGGTAAATATATACTGCAAAACCCATTACAGGTATGCAAAGAAAAGTATTGTCTATGATCTGGCATTTAATCAAATAAAAGCCATCATGTTGCCTTAAATGTTTTTTAAAAGGCCGGACTTGTCAAGTTACCTCGTATCAACTGAGTCATGTTAACTGAGCGTTTGTGTAGTGTTAATCCAAGCAAAGGTAAGACAACAAAAGTTTAGCTTGCGACAAGAGAGCATTAAGCTAAGTTGAATAACCTTGCACTTGCTGCTAGCAAAGAGCCGAGCAGTTCCTGCAGTTCTCCTGATGTGCCATCACTTGTTGAGCAGTGGTAACTTGATTGTGTGCTAGAACAGCAGTTCCCCTCTCCAAAGGGCCAATGGCTTCTAAGCAAGTTTTGATATGGACATAGAAAACTGTTAGAAGAGGGTTTTTTGGTTTGGATGAGAGCCACTAATGCATGACTGCTCTTGCATGTGCATAATCTCCGTGCGGTCATCTGCTTGGGTGGCAGAATTGTCCTTCCTGGCCATTTTCTGCCTGTGCAGGTTCTAGTGCGGTACAAGCTGTCTGCTGATCTGAGCATCCCCAGAATAACTTGCTGGCAGCTCTGCGGGCTGATGGTTGGCTCTCTGGGTTGTCTTTGCATGTTTCTTATGGGAAAAGATGTTGTGATAACTTAGCTAATGAAGAGCTCAGGGGTGTGGAAGACCTCCTCTCAAAGTGTGTCCTAGGCTGAAAGTTTAAAATATGCTAATTTCTTCTGTTATTACGAATTTAGCCTTAAGAAACACTGCTTTGGTGGACTTCAGGCATGGAAAACCATTTAAAGTAAATTACATTGGTAATATAAAACTATTGATGCAAGGATGTACTAGACCTTGTTTCCTTTAAGATAATGAGGGATAGCAGAGGAGCCTTAAAACATTCATCAGTGAGTGCAGTTTTGGGTGGGTTTATACTAATCATGTGACAGGATAAATATGCTATGACTTTCTGGTAAGAGAGCTAGCTTCGTGGAATACCACCTAGCTCCCAACTTTGCCCAAAGTGGTAATAAATACCTCGACCCTGTGTGTATAGGCTCGCATACTGGGTGAAGATCCCCTCTTTCTGGACGATACTGTGGTCCCAGTCACTTACTCTATCACGCTTCACTCTCACTATCTTTAAATGAAGGTAACTGCTGGCAGACAACAGAATGTAACTTGGAAAGAATTTGTTCGTGAAAATCCTTACTGTGTAACTTGGAAAGCGTTACTAGACGTCTCTTAAATTAATATTAACATTGTAAGGCGTAAAATGAGACCTTACAGTTATGAACAGCAGAGGGAGTGAATCACTGGAGCATCACGTTTTCTGTGCAAGCATTAAGGGACGCTGTGCAGTGTGACTGTTTCGCTAGTTTTTCATTACATTCATTAGAAGGTGCTCAGAATAGCTCAAGTGCACTTTTGTTCCTTAGCTCCATTCCCACAAAATCAGGAACAGTCTGTCTGTTAGTTTTCTGCTTTACCTTCTCCAGAGGACAGATGGTTATTCTGATCAATATACTTTATTAGGTTTTGCTTTGTGGGCAAAGCAGATAGCTGTGAGAGACAGTCTTAGGTTGTACTGGATTCCTAAAATACATCCTGGACTAAATTGTAGAAACAAGTAGGTGCATCTGGTAGTGGGGGAACGTTCCTCTTAATGAACATGACAGCTATTTTCCAGCAAACTTTGGACCTTATTTAATGTTTCCATTTGGTTGCAAGAATCTCTGCAGCAGCTTTGCCAGGGACTGCTATGGTCTGTTTCCCATTCCCTTGTCTTGCCTTCTTGCTTGCCACACCACTGACCTTGTAATCTGGTTCAGGGAGCTAAACCAGATTGAAGGCTAATATCTCCTTATTTCTATATAATTTCTTTTCAGAAAGTTTAGCTCCCTGAACTGACTTACTGACAGGTCAGATGAGCACCACTGTGGGGAGGAGGCTTGGCAGGACTGCAGAAGCCCTGTGCAAGATCAGGCTGTTTTGGAATATTTTTGATCAGGGTTTCGGTGGCACTTCAACTCTGAATTTCTAAAACATACTTAGGGACTCTGCAGTGTATTGTGCTTATTCAGTTATGCTGGTTACTGGTATTTGACCCTTTGTTTTCTTCTCCTTTTTTCACATTTCATAGTCCTCATGTGGTGAAATATTACGGCAGCTATTTTAAGAACACAGACCTGTGGATAGTCATGGAATACTGCGGCGCTGGATCTGTGTCTGATATTATTCGATTACGAAATAAAACTGTACGTCCTTTCTCCTTTGAATGTATGAAAAGGAAATATGGGTGTCTGGCAGCTCAAGGAAGCTGAATAGTTTGGGCATAATTCTCAGTGGTCAATGCCTGACACAACCATTGGCCATAACTTGAGATGCAGGTTCTTTGTTCCTCCGAAAATGAGAAAACTGATTGCATCGATCGAGTTTTGGCTATCTGGATAATGTAATGGCTGGAGCAGATGTTTGTTAGCTTTCCTGAAAACTGAGCCCAATTCCAAATAACAGACTCTACTTTGCGTTACTTTGGTTATTGCAGGATGAGAATTACTAGCTGAGAAAGAGTTATGGTATGTGAATTATGGTACGTGTGTATGTATGCTGATTGTAAGCTAACTCTACTACATAATGCTGCAAGTGGCTAACGAATTTCCTATTGGAAGGCAACCTTTAGTGAAAGCAATTAAATGGCAATTAGTGATTGTCAGGAAAACGTAGACCGAAACACAATAGTGTTACATCTCAGCAACTGAGAGGTTGGCAGTAACTCTTCTTTTCTTTAGCTCACAGAGGAGGAAATTGCTACAATAGTGCAGTCAACACTGAAAGGACTGGAGTACCTGCATTTTATGAGGAAAATACACAGGGACATCAAAGCTGGAAATATATTGCTAAATACAGAGGGACATGCTAAACTTGCAGATTTTGGAGTGGCAGGACAACTTACAGTAAGTAAAACCAAGACAGTTGGGTACACTTCAGTTTATCTTTCTGACCTGTATGTGAATATGACGTGCTTGTGGAGACTTTGAGAAATTGTTTGGTTTTTAGCACTTTACATCAATATAATGAGATGTTAAACCAGCAACAGATCAGAGCAGGGTTTCCTCTGTGGAAGCTGTTTTACCTAAGTAATGGTTTGCAATAGCATTTGCTATTTTCTTCAGGATACTTGTAACTTCTGTAAGCACATTTCAATTCCTCTTTGCAGCCCTCTGTATGTGACCCATGCTGAGTCTAATAATGTGAGTGTGTGCAAATGAAAGATAATTAGGCTGATAATTCATTAATGAATGTTTATGGCTAATACTGTTGCCGTTGTCTGAATCTTTATCCTGCTTTTCTTCTCAGGACACCATGGCAAAGCGGAACACAGTTATAGGGACCCCATTTTGGATGGCTCCAGAAGTGATTCAAGAAATTGGGTATAATTGTGTTGCAGACATCTGGTCCCTGGGAATCACTGCAATAGAAATGGCTGAAGGCAAACCACCATATGCAGATATTCATCCTATGAGGGTAAGGATTGTGGCCTTTTAAAATGTAGTGCTGTATGCAAAGGTTTTGCTATTATAGCTGGCTGAATAGCATATCAACATGCCATCTTGCTTATAATTTAGAGTAAATGATTTTTTTTTCTGTCAGTTCTTTCTCCTGTTGATTAAATGAAAAACAGATCTTTGAGAAGGAGAATCTGCATAAGAAGGAAAATCATGATCCTCTTCTGTTAAGACACAGCTACAGCTCCCTGTGGGTGTGAAGAAACATATTTTCAGCTTTATTATCCAAAGCTTTTTTTTTTATGCAAGAACAAATTTTTAAGACTTAAAAATGGCAGATTCACACCATTTGGAGCATTTAACGGCTCAGACAGAAGTGGAAGCACCCAGAGAGAAAAGTCTGATTTCTTGCTACTTGATTCCTGTGAGCAAATTTGTGTATAATATTGGCACAAACTCTTTAGCAGCAACAAACTTGAAATGTCTATTATTCACGTACCAGTGTGTGTTTGTCTGTATTTATGTTGTGTTGTTGGAAAGCTTTAAACTTTGTTTGGAAATCTGGAATATTCTTCTGTTTTCAGGCAATTTTCATGATTCCTACCAATCCACCTCCGACATTCCGGAAACCAGAGCTCTGGTCAGACAATTTTACAGACTTTGTAAAACAGTGTCTTGTTAAGAGCCCGGAGCAGCGTGCCACTGCAACACAGCTTCTGCAGGTCTGCCTTTTCTTACAAGAACTAAGCTCTAGAGAAGGCTTGCTAGGGTAGGCAGTGCTGCATGTTCTGTTGATATGTTGGTTTCATTTCTCGCTGCTCCTGCTCACTACAGATTTTACTTTTTAGTATCTGATGTTAAAAATCTTGCACTCAACTTCAGCTTTTCGGTTCTTCTCTGAGAACCAGTATAACATCAACTTCCTACCTCTGTCTTCTCTGGGTTGTTTTTTTTTTGTTTGGCTTTCTGATTTTTTTTTACTTTCAGATTCTCACCAACACTGCCAAGAAACCGCCTTTAAAACACTAAAAAGGGGAGGCTAAATGAAAATGATTGCTCAGCTTAGCTAAGCTGCTAAGGAAAGAAATGAGTAGAGTTGTGGGAGGGGAATGAGCCCAAGGTCTCATAGCAATAATGCCTTTGGAACATGATCTTGTTTAGCGGGTGGGAGGTCTCCCTCCTGTGTCAAACAGAAGTATTGGATTTTTACTTTAGTAATGTATTGAGTCAAACCTTGATTTTGATTGGAAGTAGGCCATAGCAACAGTTTTTTACGGTTATAGCTTGGTTTGGATGCAGTGCTTATTTGTTTTTAAAATACTTCTCAGCATCCATTTGTTAAAAGTGCCAAAGGAGTGTCAATTCTGCGAGACTTGATTAATGAAGCAATGGATATCAAGCTGAAACGTCAAGAGGCACAACAGCGTGAACTAGATCAAGATGATGAAGAAAATTCAGTGAGTATTTAATAGCAACGGTGTACGAAGCCCAAACTCTTGTTCCTTTCATAAGGCTTAGCTGCTTTGGTTTTTGATTTTGCAATATTTTGTCCAATTGCTCATGGAGTTGATTTAGTTCTTGAGTTTCCTACTTTATGACTACTTAACCTGATGCTTGGTCCCTGCTCAATCTTTATATTTATGTTTGAGTGGGATAGCCAACATGTATGGCTTACTGTTTAGCTTAAGAGTGTTGCTAGAGACCTCTGACTGAATAGGTCTACAAAGCAGAGTATGCAAAAGACTCAATACATTTTCGCAGTTGGATTATATGATTTATGCAGTAATGAGATTTTTTTCATTGTAGATTCAGGTTCTAGACTGCTCTCCTAGTATAAAATAATAATATCACCTGTGATGCACTATGGTATAAGTATGTTATGTTGTTTTACTATCGTTGTGCTTTAGAATCCCCCTTATAGACCCTTTCTACTATACAAGAGCAACCGACAGAAACCTGAGGTGAGGGCATGACAAGTGTTCAGGGGATTGCTGTGAATTTTTCAGGCTCCTTGTTTCAGTGATAACAGCATGTGAATATGGAAAGCATGTTGAAAGCTGCTTTTGAGCCTCTGCCTGCTTCAACCTGAATAAATGAAATGGGCAACAAAAGGCATGGTATGCCAGTCCTTATCAGAGGTTAGACTTGAATAGCATGGTCCACAGTCTCTGTGCTGAAGATGTTATTCATCTAGTTTTCCAGTTTAGGACCTCCTATTTATTCAGTGTGGAAGTAACTTTATTGATCATGTTGCAGTGATGTTGACTTTAAGGGTGTTGTCCTTACCCTCTGTCCTTCGCTTCTGACTGATCTGGAGTCACGTTGCTGACAGATGATGTCTATGTAGTGGAGTTGAGTGGTCTCTGTCAGTGTGTGCGCTTTCCTGAAGCTTCTGTGCTCTGTATCTGCTAGCAGAAAAGTGTTCCCAAGCACTTCCAACTGCTTTGGAAGCTTCTGCTGTAGTCCTTTGTTAAATGATGTGTAGCTAACAAATTTATTACTTCCTCTCACGCGCTCATCTCCACATAAAATTACTTCTCCATTAATATCTCATGTAGTTTTCTTCTCCTTTTGCTATCAGTTTTGAGGTTGGGAAGTAAATTATAAAGACACTCTTGACAGAACAAGTAAAATGCATGGGACACCAGAATGTGGAGGGCTGTGCTTCTTTCTTTCAGTGACATTGAGATGGAGTATTACAGCTTGATGTGCGAGACCTGTGCTTTCCCTCTAGCACTAATACAGATCAGTAAGCCTGTGGGCACACATAAAGAACTCTGAACTTCATCCTTATGATAAAACATGAGCATCTCATCCCAGGTGAGATGCCTAGAAACTCTACTGTAAGCCTGGGATGTAACTTCTGTTGTTGTAGCTGGGTACCTGGTCCACATTTCCAAGAAACTAAATACATTGCGGAAATTTTGACCTCATTCTTCATGAAATCCTAGTCACAAGTGCTTAGTGAAGCACGCACCACCTAATGAAACTACTACCTCTGGCTAATGCAACTATCTGCCAGGAAGTTCTCCTACCAGAATTTGTTTCAGGAGCTTATGTTTTCCTACAGTCAGTCTCTTAAGCCTTAACAGCAAAATTTCAGACTTCTATAATATTAATACATTTTTCCTATTAATACCTATTAATTCATTAACAAATGAAAAGATAGGAAACAATTTTCATCTGAAAAAAATGTTTATTTCATTCCACTTTAAAGATTTGCAAATTCAGGTCATTTTTCTTTCGTGCTTCTGAAGTTTATAGCAAGTAAAACTACCTAAATGTTAAAGACAGACTCCTAAAAAATAGAGCAATCCTTTTTCTTCGGTGTGCCACATGCACTCCAGACTTAGACCTGTTGCTGTCTAATAACTAATGACTCCTCAGTGAACTGTACCATTTGACATGGTGGTTTAGGTCAACTGTTAAAACTGACAACGTGAATAGAAACACTACTGGCTGAGTGAGTATTGTGATCTACTCTTAACAGACAGATCACCTGGTCAGAAATGAGGTACAGATTGTATTGAGAAGCTTCTATTGATTAATTATCTGTTCTCTTATTTATCACACTGGCAGAAAAGTATGAAGACTTTTCATTACCTGCTTGGAGATGACAGGGAGAGAACTAAGTGCATAAAATAAAATGTCGTTGGCTTCCATGTGTATTTGTAAAAATCGCTGAATTAGTAAGACTTGCTCGTGTCCTTGAATACAGCCACTCTTCATAGGACTTCACCACCATCAGTAAAAATGTATTTACGGTGTCCTTGCACAGGAAGAAGATGAAAATGATTCGGGTACCATGGTGAGGGCAAGCGGAGATGAAACTGGTACTATAAGAGCTGTCAACACGATGAGCGATGGAGCCAACACAATGATAGAACATGATGGCACCTTGGAATCCCAGTTGGGTACAATGGTCATAAACACAGAAGAGGAAGAGGAGGAGGGCACCATGAAAAGTAAGAAAACGTCTTTAACTTCTAGAAAATTACTTAGGACCTAATGTGGGCTATGATATGTATTCCCAGCCTTTGATATTTTTGGTAGTTTGTTGTGATGTCTTTTGGTTGTAGGGAGCTAAAACTCTTAGGTCAATGCCCTCTGGCAGTAGAGAAGAGAGACGCTTTCTAGGTCCAAGTTTCAAGCCATTCTTTTTAGTCTTGTGCTAACTGGTATAACTGGTGAGTTGTGCACAATTTCCACAAGCTTCTGTGTTGATTGAGTAAGATCTGATTCTAGCTAGTATGATTTTGTTGTTCTTTCTTTTTTGTCTGTTTGTCTGTTTCACAGAACGTAGAGGAGGGAGGCCCTAGCAAAGGGATAATCAAAAGAATTGTGTTGCTTTAGGAAGTGATCTGGCTGTAACCTGGCATCTGGAAACAGCAAATCTGTTTCAGAGCTGATGCATCAAATTAAAGGGTTACATGTATGAAATGACAAATGTCTTGCACGTTTCAGGCACAGCAAGGCACGCAGTGGGGAGGAGGCAGCATCTCTCTGGGCTTGCGTGTTTCTTTAGTGTTACCGTAGGGACAACTGAACAAACTGTGTGTTGCTGTTCTGAAACATTCAAGTTGAAATCTGTTCCACTCTAAAATAGAAAAGCTTACTAAAACTACAAGCCTCGTCATAGGATGTAAGATTTAAAATGATGTGACTTTGATCCTTGATAGTCTGTGGAAGACCTCACTGCTTGAGCTGGAAAAGGGTTAAAAAAATGTTTGTTTCAGTAAAGAAATGGCAGAGAGAGCCTCCCTGGAGAAGTATGACGAGAAGAAAAAGAATCTTTTCTCAATTATGGATTCTTGTAGAAATCCATTCCCACCGATTGGGTAGTCTCGACAGTGTTGAGGCAGAGGTAGTCACAGATGACTCAGCTGGCCAGCACCTGTGTTTGTTCAAGGGCTGAAGAAAGTGCTGAGAAGGGGGCTCAGCAGTAGTAAAACATGACCATCATAGGCAAGGCTTGTTCTTTTGGCTCTTGCACTGCTTCCTTGGCTATCTGGTTTTGAGCCTTTAGCTACTGTGAGAGAGGAAAAAATTCTCAACTGGAGTTTGGAAAAATCCTGTTCTCAGGAATTTCTGTGTTGAAAACTTCGGTGTGGGGGCCCTCTAGAGCTCGTGGAAAGATACTGTTTTCAAGAGCGAAACTTCAGCAGAACCTGTTTGAAGTTTTCTGAGCTTTGGCAAGCACTGATTCAGCACATTAAAGCCGGAGGTATCAGCCCATGTAGCAGCTTGTGGCAACAAAGACGGTGGAGTAGTGCCATGGGGTTTTGTGGAACAAGGTAGCTCTAGCAAGGAGACGGATGGATGCTTAGAGTAGCTAAAAGGTCACCCAAAGTGGGACGTGTTAACAGACTTAAACCAAATGAAGTTGCAGGTTTTTTACACATAGACAACACTGCTAATTTCTCATCAGCGGTGTGTACTGTTCCATTTCATGGTTCACCATAACAGAAGTTTCACTGTCTGGTGTTCCTGCGCTGGCTACCAAAGGTGTGTAAGTAAAGTGCCTCTCCAGTTTATCCTCCTCTGTTTAACGTGTGCTTATCTTCTCACCATCCTTTTAAGATTGCAGCGCTTGTAACTCAAAAGCATCTAATGAAGCTCCCCATGAAGTAGTGTACAGAGCTTTGAGGAGATGCCTTTGATAACACCTCTTTTGCAAGGACATACGCTCATTTTGAGTAGAGTAAGTTATGTCTTTAACATAGCGTGGTGTCTAACCTCAAGAGGGAGCTCCAGAACAAGCTCTCAGAGCTCTAGGGCTCAGTGACTTGAAAGTCCAGTTTTTATTTTAAAGCCTCCTTAGACTTCAGACTTTGTGAAAACGCTCCATTCTTCAACTGCTGCTGTATAGCAGTGGTCAAAGCTGAGTATGTGGCAGAAGTGCTTGAGCAGCTCTGCCTTCTGGAGGAAGCGTTTTGAGATCCCGGGTGGAGGTGATGTTTGACCCTGGTCCCGCTTTCCTGTCGACAGGTTCAACACAGCAGTATTTGGTGAAACCCAGCTGCACTCAGCACTCTGTGCTGCAGGTTGTGCTGCATTGTAATAACCTGATTCCAAGAAACCAGATGTTAATGAAAATGATTGTACCAGACTAAAGCTTAACTTTTCCTTAACGTCTTATTTTCCTCCTTCCCTAGTAGCATAATGCTGAAATTCTGGCTGCTGCACAGACAGTTCTGTGTTTGTTTCTTGGATGCACTGCAGGGACAGTGTCTTTGAGCAGCTTGCCCTTCACATGAATTGCCTATAGCTCAATTTTTCAGCTTGCCATTTCCATATTCATGTTCTCTTAACAGGCAGTTAAATTGATGTAAGTGTAACGCTCATCAGCCTGCTGCAGAACTCTCCAGTGCACGTTCTTTTTGTCATCTTAAATATAAATGTAATAATGCTGTTTGGAAACCACTGAGTTTGAAGAGGCTTCATTGATTCATATTTTTAAAGAAGTCTATATTTCATTTGGCAGCCTGTGTTATGACTCACAATTAAACTTGTTTTAAGTCAGTAAAAAAGTTTGGATTTTTTTTCTTCCATGGCATTAGTAGGAGAATTTAGCTTTCCTAGATGTCTGGGGCTTTTTAACTGCAGGCTTCTGAGCTAGTGGTCTAGCCCTTCCCTAGCCTTTATAATTTAAAAAAATAAATCTGTCTCCTCACCAGATTTGGTTTAGTTTTGCTTCTTTATAATGTAAAAAGTGTTTACAGGACATTGAAATACAATGCTTTAGACAGTTATCTTAGAAATCTCTGTTAAACAACTTCCAATAGCGTTGAAAGTGGTTCTTGCATAAATCAATTCATAGCTTTTTAGGCTCAGAGGAAAAATGTTATTAAATTCCAGTATCTTACATTGTAGGGGAAGTTTTGCTTTGTAGTCAATTGAACTGTAATTTTGTTTGCTTGAATTCTTTCATTTGCTTGGCTTTTTCCTGGGCACTCAATATAAACATTCGGGCAGCATTAAAAATGTCACTATGACATTCTGTTACGCTGTGTTTCGAAAGCACTCAAGTGATTGCCTGAAACCGCAGATACTAAATTGCACTGCGACACATTTTACTTATAAATCGATTGCTAACAGATTACTTATGGATTGCAGTTAAACTATTCCAGGAAAACTTTGGAAGCAGCTGAAGAACTATAGATGAACAATCATTTGTAATAACAGACATTTCCATTGTGCTTGAGAGCTGGAATAACTTTTGAACTCTGAATATGTCTGAAATAATTTTTTTTATTATTATTTTTCTGTAAGAAAATACATAGTGCTAGTACATAGTGCAACATTTTTTACTATTTCTTTGCTTTTTCTGCTCTATTTGCTGTAGGTCTTCAGATAGTGGAAACTTGGCATGGGTTTGTCACTTCGTGGAACATAATTTCATAATAAACCAGATAAACATATTGCCTTCCTTGGACACTGCAATACGATCAGATCCAAGTGAAATAGGATCTAGTTTGTCTGTAGTACTATCATCTGTACTATTTTCTATGTTAAAGTGCCTCTTGCTTGTTTAAGCACCAAATGAAACAACACTGGAGAATGTAGAACTGCCAACAGTGGTGTGAGCTGGGCTGTCTGGTTTTCGGGTTGAGATGAATGAGGGATTTGGAGAGGGTGGAAGGATTGTGGGTGTGGGGTGTTTGTTAATGTGGCACGCGTTC